TGCAAAAGACCTCTTTAAAGTGTTAAAAAGCAAAGATGTCACTTTAAGGACTAAGGTGAGCCTGATCCAAGCCGTGATGTTTTCTATCACCTCATATGCATGTGAAAGCTATGAATATGAATAAGGAAGATAAAAGAATTGACACCTTTGAATTATGGTGTTGGTGAAGAATACTGAATATACCACGGACTGCCAAAAGAACGAATAAATCTGTCTTGGAGGAAGGACAACCAGAATGCTCCTTAGAAACAAGGATGGAGAGACTACGTCTCATATACTTTGGACATATCATCAGGAGGGACAAGTCCTTGGAGAAGGACATCATGCTTGGTATATTAGAGAGTTAGCAAAAAAGAGGAAGACCCTCAATGCGATGGACTGACACAGTGGCTACAACAATGCGCTCAAGCATAACAACGATTGTGAGGATGGCGCAGGACTGGGCAGGGTTTCATTCTGTTATACGTAGGGTCACTGTGAGTAGAAACCGACTCGATGGCACCTAACAACAACACTCACCAGCCAGGGGGTAGTGGGAGTTCAGTGATAGAAGTCTTGCCTTCCATGTGGAAGACCCAGGTTTGACTCCCAGCCAATTCACCTCATGCACAGCCACCACCCATCTGTCAGTTGAGGCTCCCATGTTGTTATGATGCTGAACAGGTTGCAGTGGAGTTTCCAGACTAAGAAGGGTTGGGAAGAAAGGCCCAGTGATCAACTTCCAGAAATCAGCCAGTGCAAACCCTGTGGATCACAACGGTCCAATTCTGCTGTGCATGGGGTTGCCATAAGTTGGGGGACTGATTTAATGGCAGCTAATAACAACAAAGGAAACGTAACACAAAATATGGATTATAAAAAAGAGAGCTTGATGGGCCTAAGAATATTTGTCTTGAACGGTCTCCACCAGCCTTGACCGTGGGTCCTTGAGTATTCCCGTCTCAGGATTTGGTGAACGTTGTTAAGTAGTAAGTTCACCTTGAAATAGGCTTCACATTGAAGTCGTGGTTGGCCTGCCTGTCTCCCCAACTGGACTCTTGGGGAGAGCAGGTTTTACTCATCTCTGCCTCCTTGGGGCCCAGCAATAGGTTGGGTGCTCAGGAAGCACCAGTGGACCTCACCGTCACCCTCCTCACACTCGACGTTCAGGAGCTATAACAAGTCAGAGGCTCCCCCCCACCCCCACCCCGAAGAACTGAACCTTACTAGGGCAGCGCCTTGAGCTGAAAAGCAGCGGCTCTGAGACTGGACTTTCCGCTGTATTCAGGGCAGAGGGGTTGCTGGGAAGAGGGGACGCTTCACCCTTGGTCTTTGGTTTTCCGGAAACTCCACCATCTCCGAGCAAGACATTAATCAGTAACAACCCCACAGGGGATCATACTTTGGAACGGCAAATATTTGCTGAAGGCTTTCAGCTGTAAGCCTTAACCTTTTGTTTCTGCCCTGAATGAAGCCCCTTCCCGGGTGCCAGAGGGCCCCTTACAGGTAAGAGGCAGAGAATTAAAGGGAAACCTTGAAAGTGTCAACTTAGGGAGGGACGGGAGAGAGGACATTTTCATTGTCTTTGGTGAGGGGGTGGATGGTGGGCAAAGCAGAGCCCCCAGTCCTAGACTCCCTAGAGATGGTAAGTCCAGGCTGGGGCAGGGTCAGGGCAAGAGGCCTGCAATAGTCAGGAAGGTGCCTCGTCTGCAGGACAAAGGCCAGAGGGAAGGGGCTTTTAAGGTGGAAATTTCATCACCCACCCCACTCTGTGCAAGCCACACTTGGCTCGCTGGCCTCCCCAGGGCCCTCCTTCCAGGTTCCTTGAGGGTCAGGGGTGGAGGGGTGGGGGTGGGGAGCCCCTCCCAGGCACGTGCCGCCTTGCTGAGTGAGAAGTGGTAGATGAGCGATTGGTTTCTTACCACTTGGGTACTAGGTAGGCAGGCGCGCCCTTGGCATGCTTGACGGCACCCTAGTCCTGCAGGAGTGTCCCCTGCATACAGATTCTGTATGGCTCAGTAGATTAACTAATACCTTAGGGAATGCTGGGCTGCCACTTCTCGGGCTGAAGGAGGAACTTCACGAACGGTGGGGTAAGACTTAGCACACAGAAGGGGTGGCATCTATTTGATGTGCTGGGACAATTTCCTGACTACTGTGACAGGGAGAAGTCACCCTGAGTTTAGGAGTGTTCTACCGCAGGTTGGAGTCCCTGGGTGGTGCACACTGCTAATGTTCCACTTGCTTCAGGCTGCTCTGGGGGGAGATACACTGCAGGAGGGCAGAGATAGCCCCCTGCCCCCAAGAAGGAAGCAGGGTCCCAGGAGGTTGCTCCCCAGCACACAGAGGAGGTGTGTTGTGAGGCACTGGAACCATCTCTGTCCTCTTGTCTCCAGAGAAAGTCTTGTGGCTGGAGAGAAGCCCTCCCCTGGCCTGCTCAGGAGACGACATGAAGCTGGTACTGCGCCTTCTGTTCCTCTTCCTTCTGGCGGAGGTGTGGCTGGTGCCCGGCTTTGCCCCGGGGACCCAGCCGCCAGAGGCTGAGGCAGGGCCGGGGACTCTGAGGACCCTCGCTCCCCAGAACCAGCCTCCTGAGGAGAAGAAGGAAGAGGAGCCCTGGCTGGTGGCCAGCAGGCAGGAGCTCTCCCAGGAGACTTCCAACTTCGGGTTCAGTCTGCTGCGCAAGATCTCCGTGAAGCACGAAGGCAACGTGGTCTTCTCCCCGCTCAGCCTGTCCTTCGCCATGGCGACCCTGGTGCTGGGGGCTGCGGGGCCCACCCGCACCCAGATCCTGAGCGGGCTCGGCCTGCAGGCCCTGAATGGGACCCAGCCCGCACTCCTGCCGGCCCTCTTCGGGCATCTGAGAGAGACCTTATCCCGCAACTGGGAGCTGGGCCTCACCCAGGGCAGCTTGGCCTTCATCCACAAGGATTTTGATGTCAAAGAGACCTTCCTCAATTTATCGAAGAGGTATTTCGATACTGCGTGTGTGCCTATGAATTTCCGCAATGCCTCCCAGGCCAAGGGACTCATGAATCAGTACATTAGCAAAGAGACTCAAGGGAGAATTCCCAAACTCTTTGACGAAATTAATCCTGAAACCAAAGTCATTCTTGTGGATTACATCCTGTTCAAAGGTACACTGATAACGCTCTGCTCTCCCAAAGCCGTAGGTTCCTCGCTCTTCCTCTCCCTCCATTTGGCCAGCGTATGGTTTTCCATGACTGTGGTATCAGATTCCACAGATGGGAACATTTACTGAACACATCTGATTTACTAGGTGCAGTGTTAGATGACACTGCCAGCTGAGCCCCCGGCCCTAACACTACACGCTTGCTGGTCCTTCCGCTGTTCACAGCGCCTCACCACAGCTCTTAGGACATTTGGAGCCGCAGCCCAGGGGCATAAAGACAAAGCATGGGCTTTATCGTCACAGATACAGGACTGCAGCCTTACTCCTTCACTCTCTACTTTTGTGACCTGGGGCAAGTGACAAACTCTCTGTCCTTGGATTCTTAATATAGAAAACAGGGACACTCCCACCTACTATGGAATCATGAGGCTTAAATGAGATAATGAGTGTAAAGTGCCCAGTTGTGCTTGGCACCTAAACCCAAAAAACCAACCTCATTGCTGTCGAGTCAATTCTGACTCAAAGCGACCCTACAGGACAGAGTAGAACTGCCCCCATAGGGTTTCCAAGGAGCAGCTGGTGGATTTGAACTGCCGACATTTCGGTCAGCAGCCAAGCTCTCAACCACTGCATAGGTACTAAATATGTTAACTATTTTGTTATCTGATCTTCCTAATTGCCAGAGCACAGGTCCTGGTCCCCTTTCTAAACAGGATGAAAGTGAAGCTCAGAGAGGTTGGGTAACTTGATCAAGGTCACACAGCTAATCTGTGGCAAGGCCAGACTCCAGCCAGGGTCTCCTGACACCCTGATGCCAGGCTCTGTCCAGGACACCGTGCTGCCTCTCTAATGAGACACTGGACTTGCTGACCCCAGGCAAAGAGGAGACAAGGCCCCGGGAGGGCCCATTCCACAGTCAGCCAGGCCACACAACCCGGACAGACATCTATGAGTGGACAGTCGTGCACCACCTGCTGGTGGCCTCTGCTGGGTTGTGTAGCCATTGGTCAGCAAGGACGCTTCCCTCAGACCCATCCTAAGCAGCAATGGGTGGGAATGTCATCTGTTCTGCCACAGCAGACTCTGTGTGTGTGTGATGTGTGTGCTTGTGCAGGGGCGTGCATTAGACAACATGGCAGGCAGAGGGCCCCCAGGCAGACAGGGACAGGCAAAGGCCCAACATCTTCTCTAGGCCGGAGCTAAACCCCAAGAGACCCAGTGCAGAAGGAAGTGGGTATTTAGGGCACCAGCTGGAATGTGAGTGAATTTTGTTCAGGTCCAGAACAACCAGGGGCACAGGGATCCTTAGGTGACATGTCCTTGCTCTCAGGAGTGATTCCAATAAGGCCTGCAGGAGGTGTCTGTTTTGCCAGCTGGGAAAGGGGCCTGGGCAAAGCCGATCTGTGGGAATTTGTCTTGCCTACCTGAGCTTTGGTCACAGCAAACCTATACTGGGATGCCTTTCCTAGCTGGGGCAGGAAAGGGGATGGAAGCCACCTCCTCCACTACTTTAGCAAGAATAGGGCTTTTTCAGGAGGGTGGTTTCTGCAATGAGCTCTTCTCTTGCCTGTTCAGGGCAATGGCTGACTCCATTCGACCCTGTCTTCACGGAAGCTGACACTTTCCGCCTGGACAAGTACAAGGCAGTGAAGGTGCCCATGATGTACAGGGCAGGCAACTTCGCCTCCACCTTTGACAAGAATTTTCGCTGCCACGTCCTCAAACTGCCCTACCAAGGAAATGCCACCATGCTGGTGGTCCTCATGCAGAAAATGGGTGATCACCTAGCCCTTGAAGACTACCTGACCACAGAGCTCGTGGAGACGTGGCTTCGAAACATGAAAACCAGGTAGAGCTCTTCCCTCGCCCTGCACACACTCAGCCTTCCTTGCCAACACTCACCACAATGCCATTCAGTGCACTGTGGTTCGACACCCATCTCCCCCAGTGAGAAGGAAGCTCCATGGAGGCTGGGGCAGCATTATTCTGGGTCCTCTCTGTCCCTAGTATCCCCCTGGCTTGTCCATTCACTCAGCCACTATTTATTGAGTTGCTCCCAAGTGCCAGGCACTGTGATGCAAGCACATTCGTACAGATGCATCAATAAACCAAACAGGCAACAGTCCCTGTTCTCATGGAGCCTATAGTGAGGGGAGACAAACAATAAACAATAATGCAGGGAAGGGGGTAGGGAGCACCAGCAGGGTGCACATGGAGAGCAGGGAAGGTCTCTTGTTAAGAAGGTGACAAACGCCTGCCTGAAGATAAAGGATGAACCATGGGGATCTCCTGGGGGAAGAGTGTTATAGGCGCAAGTGTGAATGTTCTGGGATGGGAGTGTGCTTGGTGGGTTTGAACAACAGCAAGGAGGCCAGTGTGGCTGCAGGAGAGTGACTGGGGGTGAAGAGTGGAGATCAGGTCAGAGAGGAGCCAGGGGCTCAGTCATCTACGACCTTCAGGCTACAGAAATGACATGGGCTTTGCCTGAGGGAGATGAGAAACCACTGGAAGGTTCTGAGGAGTGACATGATCTGACTTACGTTTTGAAGGATCACACAAGCTCCTGTGTTGAGAAAAGATAAGCGGAGGAGAAGGGGATCAGCTAGGAGGTTATTGTCATAATCCAGCTCAAGATGCTGCTGCCTTGGATGACAGTGGTGGCAGTGGAGATGATAAGTAGTCGAATTCTGGCCTGTTTATGAAACTAGAGCAGATAGGATTTACTAATGGGTTGGACAGGGGTAAGATAGAGAAAAAGAGGGGAGTCAAAGACAACGCCCAAGCTTTTGGCCTTAGCAACTGGAAGGATGGATTTGCCCTCTACTGAAGTGGGATTGACCGTGGAAGGAATAGGTCTGGGGGTAAGTTCAAGAGTTCAGTTCTGAGCATTCAGATCAGAAATATCTGTTAGACATCTAAGTAGAGATGTCAAGAAAGCAGTTAGATTTATGAATCTGGAATCCCAGGGTGAGTACCAGGCTGGAGATATATGAATTTGGGAGTCATCAGCATATAAATAGAATTTAAAGTCATGAGACCAGATGAAATTCCCTAGAAGGGAGAGGGGAGCTATGCCTAGAGAGGAGTAGAGTCTGAGTCACAAAATAGGCCCTCACATGTTTGTTGAATAAATCAATCCACCTACTGGAACACAAGGAAAACAGCAGACATAGAAATCCAGGGACATGCCCTCTGAATCCTGCCAACTCAGAATTTGGCACAGAGTCCAGCTAAAGGTCCCCAAAGTTAGTTTTATCTTCATTACTCATCTGTAATTTTTCTTTGAATCCTTAGTGCCTAGCAAAGGACCCGAAGCATAAACCCTCCAGAAACATTTACAGAATGAAGAAATGTATCAATCAACCTTCAGGAAATGTCATGGCCTCAGTTATAGTCCAGTCTGACAGCCTAGCCCAACCTAACTCAGCAAGAGAGAAACGGGGTGGAGCATATAGTGCATGAAAGAGAACTGATATTTATTAAGTCCCTGCTACATACTATTGTTCTGGATTCTCAACACGTACTACTTCATTTAATCCTCTGAACAGCCCTGTGAGATTAGTATTGGTATTTTTTGGCTTCACTTTATAGATTAAAAAATTGACACTTCTCTAAGACAAATTTAGTATCAATTAGTAGTTTTCATGCTTTTTATTGTTTAGCCACAGAACTCATTTTATCAAAGTATTTCCAAAGGAGAACTCCAACATACAAAATAGGTAATGCCAGAGTTTCTCTGCTAAAGATGGACAGGGGTTTGAAAGTTTCCTTCATCCCCCACTACCACCTCCCCCGCCGGACCCCAGGGATTCTCTCCTGGAAACCCTGGGAGTTGGGAGAATCTAGCAATCAAAAACAGCCAACATCTAGATGCCTGCAGGATTGCTTGGTTAATTTTAGTTGTTTTTAAAACAGGTAAATAGACACAAAGGTGGCATTCTTTGCCAAAAAGAATGTGTCACTGGCTCACCAATGCCAAAATAGATTAACGGTATAGATTTGATAAGCCAAACAAATTCTCTAAGATAGACCATTACAAAAGAATGGCTTGGTTATATATAGTCAACTGAGGGGAGATTCGTTAGCAGAAACAATCTTGGAGGAAGGAAAGAAAAGGAAGTGTGGTCTTGTTAGTGTTCATGGCCCATGGCTTTGTCTACATTTCACCATTATATATACTTGTGCCACAGAAAAATGGAAGTTTTCCTTCCAAAGTTCAAGCTAGATCAGAAGTATGAGATGCACGAACTGCTTAAGCAGATGGGAATCAGAAGAATCTTCTCATCCTGGGCTGACCTCAGTGAACTCTCCGTTACTACAAGAAACCTTAAAGTATCCAAGGTAAGTCATGATCTTTCATAGGGCCCCAACACTAAGTATGAAATACCACCAACAAATTTTTTTTCTTTTTTCTTTATTGTACTTTAGATGAAGGTTTACAGAACAGTTTCTCATTAAACAGTTAGTATA